CGTGGACACGCTTGCTTCTTTATGTACTCCCCAAACCCAAAAACAATTAATTAAATTTAACACCTCTTCATTTATTTACACGGTAAGTCTACAGCCTGTGGGAACCGTTCGTACAAGCCGTAACGGTGGAAAAAACGGTTAGAAGACTTAGAGGTAAGTCTACAGAGTACACATAGTCTAGAGGGTTCATTCCAAGATGACGAACGACTGCGGACGCGTACCAACCTCTAGGCGAGGCCAGCGTACTGCTTTCTCATTGTACACATTCGCTCGTAGAAAATGGCTCCGAGTAAGCCCAGCAAGCAGCGGGGTTTCTCACTCTCACTGCTGTAAAGAAGACTCAACAAAAAAACACATTATTGATTGGTTGATAAATAGTAATAATAGTCCCTCCGATTGGGGTCAGTCTTGTGTGGGAAAAATAAATACACACAGAAAGACTACCCATTCGAGATATTATACCCACCCACAGCAGTCGAACGGGATGTGGTGGAGTCTTAGTCTTCCTAGAGGAAAAATACGCTTACTACTATCGTCTCGAACGGACGGACGGGTAAACTGTTGACAACATCATCATCAGCAGGGTTGGTAAGTTGGTGAACTAGTCTAACTGCTGTGCTGTGATCTTATTATTTTCTCAGGCACGTGTGTGTAGAGCTCCAATAGTATCCATCCGAACAAATTGGGATATATCTAAAACGTCAGCAACGCCGATACGTTCTGGTCGATGGATCGGCATCAGTTCTGCCGCTGTTTCGGTCAACATCGACGATCGATCATCGATCATCGCTCGCGATCGACGATCGACGGACGTTTGGCCAATAAAGCGGCAGAACTGGTGTCGATCCGACCAGAATGTAGTTGTATCTTCAACTCTTTCCAACGTTTTTGGAACGGTTTTGGTCTTCGTTCTTCTTGCACATAGGCCAAAGGACAAAAGACTCGCAGCTACAGGTAGCATACCAGCTTTAGAATGTCTTGCGATGAACTTACGCTTCGCGCCGGAAAGAGCATTTTTGTGTCCCGGCTAAGTGTGCATCTGATAAGACTGCCGGATGAGAGCAAAACTCATATACGTATCTAGCCCCGCGAATAAATTATCCGGGGACGATACCGTGTCCCCGGGTCGATCTATGTCGTTCACCATGCAGGGTAGGTCGTGAAACTTACGACGCGTTTCCATGACCAATTCACGCCATGACCATCTCCACGCCACATACCCCCAAGCGCATGGATCGAGCTACATACTTCTCGGCGTATCGGCGTAGTACATCGATCACATACCAGAGAGACAAATAGGACAAGGGGACACCTTGTGATTATCCCCGGGTGTTCCACGCGCATGTTTATCCCTACCAAATATTGCGCGCGTGCTGACCAAGCGCTCCTTTTCGGCCCCTCCACTCGGCACAGCACAACGTGTTACAGTAGCACACCCGCAGGACACGGCACTATCACGAGAGGACCATAGCACCAGCCACGCGAAACACCCGCAACCGACACCAAGCCAACCGCCACACAAGACGAGCCAAGTGTCCTGCTTGAATTTACACGAGCTTATCACTGCTGCAGCTGCGAACCGGGCAGTCCTTCCTTCGTGCTCTCAGCCACGCGCCCTGCATCAGCAGCACTTAGGTTATAACGATGAAGTCCGCCTTCGCGATGATCGGTGCCCTTTGCTGCGGCGCTTCCTCCGCCGGAGCCTTCGTTCTTCCCGTGGGTAGGCCCACCGGCAGCAGCAGCAGCAGGCTGGCAGCCAGGAGAACATTTAACCGGAGAACTCCTGGCGGGGCGTCGATGATGATGTCGTCCGTTGCCGAACCTCCGGCAGCAAGGCCGACCGCTGCGCAGGAGCCAGAGAGAAGGCCAAAAGTCCAGGTAGGCGAACAGGAGGCGCACATAACACTGCCGAGAGCTGGGCTAAGCGTTTGCACGGAAGCGTGACACAGCAGCAGCAGCAGCAGCTCCTCCCTCTGTTGCGCTACACGTATGTGTATGTATGCGTCGTCGAACTTGACTACATGATACAGCACTCTTTCAGCAAGTGGAACCGGTTTTTCTCGATGTGGTGGTTTATTTTTCTTCGGCCGTTGTTGTTGTTGTTGTGTGGCGACTCCTCCGCCGTGTGCGCGCGCGGGGCTTCTTCGCACTGCTGGGCCGCGTGCTTCCAGAGCGCAACTCCTTTTGTTGGTGGCGGTAGCTTGCTTGCCTCTCTGTTGCGCTCGTGGTGTGTGTCGCCCGCGCGAATGGCTGCCCCCACCACCGGAACCATAGAGACCAAGCCTGCATCAGATCAACTAAGTGCGTCACAGGTTGCTCTCTCGACGTGGTATGTACCACGATCGGCCCAACTCGAAGTTGCAGCGAGAGAGGGAATTCTCGCGGGCAACGCACATGGTCTGCAGGACCCTCCCTCTGCAGCTGGTCGTTAGTGTGCATAGTCATCCGCAAAGGAAGAATGCTTTTAGCCCCGTCTCGTGACAGCCGCGCTTACAAAATTAAAATTATGGTCGGGAACACTAGTCGTGGCAGTGATGTAAGCATCCGGCGTGTTCCATCGACGGCACCTGTTTACACGTGTTTGTATGTATTTAGCATGACGGAGGACTGCTGTACGCGATGAATATTGTTGTATGTACGTGCGTTGTTTGAGAAAATTGATGGTGTTGTCCGAGATGGAGACGTGGTTGAAGTCTACATCTACAGCTTGCAAATGATGGTTAGAATGTCGCACGTGCTGTACCCGCTCGAGAAAATTAATTATAATAATATTGATTCGTTTGTTGAAGTCTACAGCAATTTGCACGGTTGAATCGCGACATTAAATTGGTTGAGTACCCTGCTGTGGTTCGAGTCCACCGTGCATGGCAGGAAAACCACTGATCCAAATGTCTACACGCATGGATACAAATGGAGGTATGTATCACTATTGCAGTACTCCCTCCTCGCATGCCTTTGTCGGGGTCCACAACGAGTACACACAAAAACCCATTCTTTGTTCCTCCACAAGACTACAAACACCCTTGTCTGTTGGACGCCATTGCTCTCGGTAAAACCGTGACTATTTACGTACATTCGCATACAATTTCTGTATATCGAGTCCATCCATGTCTAGATGCATGCGACGAGAAGTTGTGAAGCGCAAGCGTTGCATGTCCGAGTCTGCTCTTGAATGTGTTCGACTCATCTTTTCGTGCTCGCTGCCTTGAACCGCACGGCGGTTTTAGTCCTCCTACAACACCATTCCCAGCCGCCGTTTTGGGTCTTGATGACAGCTCCCATTCGAGACGGCGACGCACAATCTCTCTCACATTACAAAGGTTGAGGCGGGTGCATGCCCCCTCCGTCACTTCGAGAATTTGCCAGCGCTTGAGACAAACTCCCTCCTGATGTACGTACAACACATATCATTGCAGGGTCACGAATTTCTCGTTTCGAGACACGATTATTTCAGGGCTGCCATTCTGAGATGGGGCACGCATTCGTTTCTTCGCCATGGTTTCGACAACTAAGCCAGCCACCTGTTGGTTGCTCGCTGCCCCCTTTCGTCAGCGCTCACGCTCTCGCTTCCACCAATTGATTGCCGCACAACAACGCTCCTTCATCACGGGTTTGCTGTTTTCCTCTCCTGTCCTGAGCCCTCTCGTCCGGCTTCCCGCCCGTTGTACCTACCGCCAAACCGCAAATTAACCCCACCCCGAGCAGGCGATCGACTCGAACGACGACTACGTGAGCGCCATGGCGCAGCACCAGGACAAGCTAGTGGTGATCAAGTTTTACGACCAGTTCTGCAGGGCCTGCGACGAGATCCGGCCGCGATACGAGGACCTCTCCCGGTCGCAGCCGGAAGAGCACGCCGTGTTCTTCGACGTAGAGGTGCGTTCGAGAAAGAAGAAAAAAATATTCGCCAGACCTTAAGTGTGTTGTCGCACCCATTATGGGATCACCTCTGGATTGCGCGTTTTTTAACATGTGTAGGCATACCGCAGGAGGGGAGGGTAGAGAGTGACCCTTCTGTGTGACCACGGGTTGGAGTAGACGGCACTGAATAGCGCTGTGAGCGCTGATTTGAAGTGAAGACAAAAAGAAAAGAAAAAAAACAGACTGCTGTGTATCTATTTGATGTTGGGTTGCACCGCTACGGAGACTACTCGCTTATGTACTCTCGTGCTGCTTTTTATGACCCCATGTCTGCGTTGTCATTGCTGCGTTAGTCCTCTTCCGAAATTTTTGTTCCTCGCCCCCTCTCTTGTCCATGCCTGTGTCACTCACTCCTGTGATGTTAGTTCTTTGCCCAACATTTTTTTTTTACACGCCCCCCTTTCGTTTCACCTCCCTTGGCAAAGTAGGAAGGAACGATTGGCCATCGGTGATCGGTCCTGTGGGAACAATGCTCCGTCCTCTCGAGGACGCGTGGTCAAGGGTCTAACCGCTAAGGCATGCAAAACATAAGAGTACGCCCCCCCCTTCCCCCCCCTTCGTTTCACGTGTGCCACGGCCGACCCTTCGCATGAAGTTCTCTGGGGCTAAGGACCTCTGCAAGCAGCTCGGCATCATGCGGCTACCCACCGTGCAGATCTACGACGGCACAAACGGCAGGTGACCACAAATACAACAGATTATGACACCTAAAGAAAAAGGAATGGCGGCTTGTTTTGACTCAAAGTGGGACAGAGAATTGGCGCGTAACTCTGCGGGGAGACGTAAGTTGGACACTGAGGCAGTCGTGGCAATCCTACTGTGACTTCGTCCTGTTTGCCAAGTCCAAGTTGTTGCTCAAACTGCGGTTGATTGTAAATGGACCATTATGAACAATCGTGCGCGCGGTTGGTCATTTGTTCCGTGCCCCTTCCCCCCCCACACACACACGAATCCACGAAGCTGGCGGGTGTACTATGTTGCGACGCCAACTACATATTTCGTGCCAATACCTTGCCCTGAACTCTTGCTCACGGTGTACTCCCCCCCCCCCCCCCCCCCCCCCCCC